AACTAATGGATTTTATGTAGGTGCTCAATCACTTGTTAACTAAGACCTTTTTAACAGATAATGGTCTTTTATCTGTTGCATCTTTAGTATCCACTTTTTAAAACAAAAGGATTATCTTAGCCAATCCACGGAGTCAATCAATAGAATTTTAAACTTAGAATCAAAAATGTTAATATTGAGCTTTAACCGTTCTTTCAATTTTTGTTTGGTTGTTGAGGGGGTTGAATCCACATGGAAAAAATGTACGCACCCCCCGCCCCTATGTCCGGCCCTTGTTGACTGTGGACAGTTGTCACCAACTTCGAAAAATAAACGACAACTGTCAAAAGTTAAACATCTTATTTGTCTCTTGTCACTACAAAAGTTTTCAACTAAAAATCAAAGCGATGGCTGCAAACAACTTATACAGTCAACTTTGAGGATAGGCCTTGGGTGCCATCGAACCAGGGTTGATTGCGTTTTGGACTTATACGCAGGCCAATAAACTATACTGCCCATTGATACTGAGACTTCTAATAAATCTAATTCAAGTTTTAACACCCACCTTATTGATACATTAACAGCCACCTTAAAAATACTTATTGATCCATTTTTGAGTAATTAGTTCATTTTACTAAAAGATTTGATTCAAAATAAGTTCTCAAAGTTGTTGAAGATTTTTGTATTTTTTCTTTGAGTATCGATATTTGAATATTATTTTTGAAGTTGAAAAAGATTAAAATTTAAAAAACTGATTTGAAAAAAAAATCTATTTTTAAGCTTGTTTGAGTTCATTGAAATTTTAAACCTTTTGGGTATGCTGACGTTAGAGTCGAAATATCAGTTTGCTGGAGTTTTGTCAAGAAAAGATTTTACCACTTTTTTTATCGAGACTTTCGTTTCGATCTAGTTCTTCAAAGTCGAACAAAGTCGAACAATGTCCGGTAAGTCTAACAAAGTCAAAAACGGACATCGTTCGACTCAAAAAGTCAAAAACGAACATCGTTTGACTCAAAAAGTCAAAAACGGACATCGTTTGACTATTTCGGTCTAATCATAAGTCGAGCACCTGAACCCGGGTAGTGACAATAATTATGTTAAAAGCTGAAAATGCAGAGGGCTAGCGACTGGCTGATAATCAATTTAATGAAATTTGAAACTGTCACGAATATCTTATTGATCGCTCGCAATTAAAATTTTGAAAGATGCTATTGCGAATTTTTGGTGTGATTTTTTGAAGAAACGATGCGGTTTTATGTGAATTGGAAGCTTAACTACTTTTTTATTTCTGACTGAGATATTTGGGCCGAATTCTGAAGTTAATGCAAATGCCACCGTTCGCTAACTTCGCGCAAAATTAGTTAGCTAACTACAAAGCACGCGTTCATTTCTCGTCTATGAGTCAAAGTTTTTTATTGCATATATTGCAGGCGTAAGATCAATTGAGATAAACCAAGCAATCGAAATACTGCGTTGCTAGAATCCGAATATATCACTTCGTATTTGGCCTAGCGGTTGGCTTTAACTGCTGAAAAACTTGGGAAAAAAACGTTTTTCAAATACATTTTTCATCAAAAACTGCTTCAAAAATGCTAAGGGGCGTAAGAGCATGGTTTTGCCTTCACAAGAGGAAAGTTCTTGCCCTTCAAATTTAAAAAGGAAAATCCCGAAAATTTTCATTAGATTTTATATTCGTCAAAAAACAAACGCTTTGGTGAGGTTTGGGAAATTTTTTCGTATGTTATTTTCCAAAACTGGCTGAGATAAACTATTTTTTGAAAACGCACAATGAATAGAGCATGCAATTTCAATCTTTTTGCAATTTAAATTGCAATTTTAATTCAGAAACTTATGGCTTTGCATTGATCCGAGCAGCTCTTTTTTGGGTTTGGCAGAGGTTTTTAGATGTTCATTATCAACGTCCGATAAAAATTTTTTCTTTGATTCAATTTGGATAATTAATACATTTACCTCTAAGTGGCTTAACGCATAAATTGCCGCCAGCATTGTAATTTTTTTCAAAAAACCTAAATTATAAGTGAAACTATAGCAAAAAATTTTTTTGGTCTTCCAAAAGAAGTGCGGGATATTTGCACCTGGGGTATTTTTTTTCATTCAAATACTTGTTGCAACAAAAAAAATTAGGTTACATCGAAGATATTGACTCTTTGAACTCAAAGTTAACAAAAATGTTTTTATCTCCAACTATTTTTGTAAAATATTGTTTTTGAAAATTGCCGTTTTGGCCATGCTCTGATCTAATCAATTTTTTGTCACTGAAACTAACCTCCCTGAATTATACCGCTCTAAAAAATTGTTCAAAATTGAAATGAAGAAAGCTAATCGGTCGTGCTAAACTGGTATGATTCAATTTTTACCACTTGTTGTTTGATAGTGCTCGAAGTTCATGGTTATTTATTTTTTTCTCTTCCAGAAAATGTTTGACACCAATCAAGGGGCTGTCGGAACCTTCATTGTTTTGTCTTGATATACGATCAGTTTTTTTGGTGCATTCTTAGAAAAAGATTGGAAAATAACAATTTTATTAATTACCTTTTTGTTAATAACCTTACCCAATTTTTCTCAGATTTATTAAAAGCGGGGACAACGATCTGCAAATAACTGGTTCAGTGAGAATTTTTTTTGTTCCGACCAAGTTTCCTGATTTGCAGTTTTGTAAAATTTAATGCTTAAATGCAGATTGAAAACACTGGGCGCAATGATTGGTTTGGTTAATTTTAATACGATCGCTTTTTTTAAGGCGACTTCGAACAAGGCTGCGCAGATGTGTTTTGAGCAGATGTGAAGGTGGTAATTTTTTCCCGGAGCTATTTTCTGTGTTTCATGTCCAGTCTGGGTAAAACTCAATTACTATATTATAATAGTTTATTGCAATATATTGGAATAATTTACCAAACATTCTATAACTTTGCCTGATTCATCTTTTTTAAAAGTGAACTTAAAATTGTGAGCAAACCATTTTGAGATAGTGTTGAAATCTGATTGGCTAATTGTAGCCAATCTTATTGAGGCAAAACTTTTCCGGTTCAAGATGACTCAAAATTATAATTGAATTTGTTATGAAGCTTCCAAATGATTAAAATGCGCAGTTGTTTGCAAATTTTTGTTTATCAAATAATTTTTGAGAGGCCATCTTTCATTAATACGCACAAATTATAATAAAGCGCAACATATTTCTAACATGAAATGTTATTTATACACCGATATTCGCCTAATATCTGAAATATCTGTATTTGTCTCCCCCTAAATTGCTTCGGTGGGGAGATTGTACGATTAAAAATTTCTCTGGATTTTTACCAAACAACAAAATGTCTCCTAAACTTCACTCAAATTGTCAATATTGCTTGCATGAACTTAAATGTGTGTGTGATCCAATACTCCCGTGGTATGTTTCATAGAATGTACTTTAATTTGCGGAAATGTATATACCATAATCCATGTAGCTCCTCCTTTCCCTGAGGTATTGTCCTAAATAAAATATTATTAATTTGAACTTAAGTGAACAAATATGCCCCCGAAATCAATTTAGCCGATGAGATCGTTGTCGTTCACTTGGTAAAAAGCGGATGTTTTTAGCCAGTCAGAAATGAGAATTTTAAAAGTTCTTTTCACAGAAATGATATTCTTTTCACATAATTGCTAATTATGGTTAAATTAGCGTTGGAGGGGGGGGGGGGGGGTAGGGGGACTGACTACATGGCCTGGCTTCTTGTACAGATATGAGCAAACGGTATTTTTGAAGTAATTCCAATTCTTCAGTCTGGTTTTTTCAATTCTAAGAAAAAACCGTACTATCTCGCTTATTGCATTTCTTGAAGCAGTCAAACCAAATACCCTTCATCCTTTAATGCTTTCAACTATCCCCATTTTCAATTATACCTGATCACGTGGGGGGGGGGGGGGGGTCTTGAGTATCATTCGAGTCAAAAGAAGCCCTCGTGATATTATTAATTTATTATTAATATTATTAATTTGAACTTAAGTGAACAAATATGCCCCCCAAATCAATTAGCCGATGAGATCGTTGTCGTTCACTTGGTAAAAAGCGGGTGTTTTTAGCCAGTCAGAAATGAGAATTTTGAATGTTCTTTTCACAGAAATGATATTCTTTTCACTTAATTGCTAATTATGGTTAATTTAGTGTAGGAGGGGGGATTGACTACATGGCCTGGCTTCTTGTACAAATATGAGCAAACGGTATTTTTGAAGTAATTCCAATTCTTCAGTCTGGTTTTTTCAACTCTAAGAACAAACCGTACTATCTCGCTGAATGCATTTCTTGAAGCAGTCAAACCAAATACCCTTCATCCTTTAATGCTTTCAACTATCCACATTTCCAATTATACTTGATCACGTGGGGAAAAGAAGAGGGGGGAGGGGGGTCTTGAGTATCATTCGAGTCAAAAGACCCCCTCATGATCGGGTATAATTGTTTTTTAAGTTTCTTTTTTATAACCTTCTTTCCTTGAGCTTTTGAACGCGGTCTTTCCTTGAATGCAGTTTATACACTTTAAATGAAAGCTTAGTAAAAAAAAAGTGGATCCATTTTTTTAAAACCAATTTCCTGTTTTATTGTGTCTTGGCAGGGGGTGCTATAAGATTTGGCTGAGTTTCCCGTCATGCAAGGGTTGCAAATCTTATAACACCCCCACCAATCACAGTCGAACAGGAAATTACTATAAGAAAGATCCATTCGTTGTTTTTGACTAACTTGGCTTAAATCTAATTCGTCACAAGGAAAAGGTTTTTTTATTACTAGATCCTGCTATCCATTGAGCATAGTACAGAACGGGCCATATGAAAAAAGTTAAGATTACTCTGCCCTTCCCCATCCGTTTGTATGATTTGAAGGAGATCCTTCAGCTGAAGTCATCAGCAATTTAAGCAGTTTCCAGTTGTCAAATTTGACAGTTTTTTAGTTATAAGTTATAACTTGTTCCCAAATTAATCATATAGCATTGCTATTTCATTCAGGTCTTCTTATAGATTCAATTTTAGATGTCGCAACTTTCCACGGCTGTTAGGTTTGTGCAGTTTTTTGCAGATTTTGTTTTAAAAATTTCCATTAGTATTAATGAAAAGGAATAAAAGCCTGCTTGTCCTAGACCGAATTATGATTTTGTTGCTTGTCTGTCAACGATAATCAGCCTGTAATTAGTTTTATTGTCCGCAACCGAATAGTCCAGCTGTTTAATGAAATCCAGATTTACAAGATTACCTTCTGGGTCATATACCAACGTTCGATTTTGATCCTCAATTTGTTGGACATTCTGGGCGGAGTTTTCTCTTTGATTATGTACCAACTTAAAGTTTGCAAATAAACATTGGATGTTATAGAAGAGATTAAAGATTTAAAAGGTAATCCTTTTTGATGGACCAATTGTAACACTGGGGTTTAAGAAAGTGCAATCTACAGTTAGTTTGCACTTTTGACACTTTATCTGGAATTGCAGGCATGGGTTATCTGGCTGCCTTCTGGAGATTGGGTACTGTCGTTCTTTCTACGTCATTCGTGGCTGGTAAGTTTTTCATTCATATGGTAACACTACCAAATTATTACATGAAAATTTCACTCCAAAAGTCTATTCCTAACGCTTCCAGATCCTTCAATTACTATAATGGATGATATATGCCTTATTAAAACAAGGATAACCGATTGCTTTGCAAGTAACCGGGTTGACAAAAATGCTTATCATACTATTTCATATTATGAAAAAAATGCTTATCATACTATTTCATAATACTTCATACATCAAAAAAATACTAATAAAATAGCAAGATAAGTACTTTTTATACTATGAAATGTTATAATAAGCATTTTTTACCACATTCTCTAATTAAATAAAAAGCGTTGTGCCATATTTTTCCCACAAAAATTTTATAAAAATAGCAAAAAGCAACTTTTTGTTCTGTGAAATTGTATGATAAACATTTTTTCTATACTATGAAACTGTGTGATAAATGAAAATACATAAATGAAAATACAAAAAAAAATCGTTTTGAAGTTTTGGGTTTCATCCGAAACACTAATCAAAAATTTTCTGTCATAAGAAAACCTAGAGTGTAACTGGCAGTTACCACTCAGATAAACTGTATTTGATGATTTTTGCCATTTCAACATTTTCACATTGAAATATTTACCAAAAATTTAATTTTTTGTAAATGACTAGAAAATTTTAAGTTCAAAAATTTTGATACTAGAGAAAAAAGGCCCATTTCTTTACAAATTTATCTTTATCATAGCATTTGAAACGAAAAAAATCATAATTGTGGTTACAAAAAAAAACACTTTTTTGTGACTTTTAAACTTTTTGGGTGAAAAACTCATCCTGCACTACGTTATAAGCATAAAAAGTCAAATTTTGCAAGCTGTTTTTTTTTCGTAAAATATATATTTGAGCACAGAAGCAAGTTTGCAACCAAAATTTTTTTATATGAAACAATATAGCATTTTTTCCGACCAAAATTGAAATTTTCTTTTTGACAGTAAGTTGATATCACCACTGAAAACCCCTTTTAAACTTACTTAAAATCTTACACTTTTTTCTTTCAATTTTTTCACAAATTTTCGAATTGGCTTCAATGGGCAGTGGACAATCATGGTTTCCTTTTAGTATACGATCAATTATCAATAAGTCGTGGTTTCTAAGATTCGCAAGGACATATGAAAGCGTACCTAAACTGCCCAGGAACAATCTGTCACTCTTGTTTCCCACACTTCAGCAATCCAGACTTAATTATTTTGTTGGTGAAAGCTTTTTTAATTTAGACTCGTCTTGTTGTATCTAGAAATTTTACGTGGTACCACTATTGCAGCGGAAATTGGTCAAGCTGTGGTAGATTTAACGCTAGAAGTCAAAAGAAAGTGGCAGGTGATCAATGACATAAGAGAACACCTCAACGCTAAGCTACGCGCTTCAATTCCGTTTCCCAATTTTGACTGGATATTCACTTTTCTTATTTTGACGGGAAGGTTTTTTATTTGATTTTAGAATATAAACTTTGGCCATTTGAAAGTAAGAAACTGAAATTCTGACCAACAATATAAATAGTGAGGCTGAGAACCTTTAATTGTTCCTTTTTGGGGTTTTGATACAAATAATGTCTCACGAAAATTTGGGGGAAATTTTGGAAAACTTTCTTCCAAAACTGCTAAGTAAGTTTCGAAGGCTACAAGACTTTGCATCATTTCTCCACAACTAGTTTTGATTTGTTTTATTTTTATTCTTTAAGCCACAGTTCGTTTCTGATGTTTTTTGCAAATAATAATATATATTGCATGCACTACAAATGATAAAAAGTCAAGCCTCCTTAGTTTTTCCAGAGACTGACTTACAGTGGATTGTTTTTGTTTCTTATAACCAAGTAGTGTCCCTGGATAACTTTGATTGATTGCGAGTGTTCAATTCTCAACCAAAAGAAATTAATGCTGTCCGTTTTTAGTACAATTTTCTGAGAAACTCAGAGTTTTTTTCAACTCAGTGTTTTTTACGCGAAATTTTTCTCAACCGGCTTTTTCTACAATTTTTTCAACCGGCTTTTTCTTCAAACATATATTTATGCGCTAATATCAAAACAATTTTTTTGTACAGCTACATGGGTTTGAGTTTTGGCGTTAAAGAAGTTTGCGTATAATTTTTATTCTGAATATTTAAAATATTTTTTTTTATGATTTTTGCGACTATTCGGAAAACTCAAATTCTCAAAAAATGGGAAAAAATTTGTTAAAAAATCCTTGTATTGGAGCCTGAAAGTAGTTGAATACAAAAAGTTTTGCTTATTTTTATTTAACCATTAATAACAACATAGTGATGTTTTTGTTTGTTTTATTATTAAATTTCAATTTTAGATTTTAATCATTTTTCTGAATACAATTACCTACAATGAAAAAAATATCATTGCATCAAAACCTGCAAGTTATGGATTACAAATCTATATTGCTTCCTGTCTATAAACCGATAAGCACAGCAGAAGAATGTTTTTGATAGTTTCGATTTTTAAAAAAAAACGCTCAAATATAACATCTTGTTGTTTGACAAAATCAATTTGATATCTGCTAAAATTCAACATTTTTCAAAGGTTATCGAGGTGTTTCATCAGCAGTTGGCTGGCTAAGTAATTTAAACACTGGCAAAAAAACGTATTCATCTGCATCAAATATCCAAGAAAAGCAATAAAATAAATAGGCTAAACAAATTCTTTTGTTGTAAAATTGGCAGAGATTATGTTTCGCCAAATGGTACAAATAATAATTGGCACACGTTAGGTCTAGATGCTGCACACCTAAGTTTATCCAAAAATGCCATAGAGCTGTCAGTTTTGCTGTGTTACGGGAGTGGAATAACAAAAACAAACCAATTCTAATTTTTTACATAGAAAAAATTTTTCTCCTATAATAAAAAAAAACTCAGTGAACGGTCTGAAAATTGTTTTTTTGATGGGTTTAAAATGTGGCAAATTACTTCACACTTCTCTAATGATAGTTTGCATTCTGTGTAAGTAATTTCTTCATCTTCAGGTATTCAAGTATTCAAATTCGTCCTCAATGTTCAAACGAGACTTGATTTGTTTACCAAACAAAGAGCCTTCAGCCTTTGATAATACTTTTTTATCTATATATTTTTTGCAGATGAAACTTACCCCCTTCTTTCTTATTTCAAGCAAAAAAAAATCAAAATAATAAGTTTTTGCAAAGGTGTCTTGCAGAGGACTGAAATGCCGTTCTTAGTCAATCTTTGGCGGTTTTGATATTTTTCTATATTTTTGTTCGTTCCCTCTTCTCTCAATTTTACTTGGCAAGTAAACAGTTTCGATGAATCTGGATGCACCACTGAGTTGGTAAGTCAGAGCAATTAAGACTCCGCCGCTCAGTCGAGAGGTCAGTGTTTCGAGACTCACCAAGACCAGTGTTCGTTCCCTACGTGCGACCCCACAGCTATCAACTCAGAACAATAACCGAAAAAAAAACATTTATCAAGTTTGTAAGTAGTAGCACTACAAGGCTCTTTGCGAATAAATGGTGCTTGAAGAACAAATTGGGGCCTTGTGGGTAAGGGGGGATTTGTCTCTTTTACAGTGCGACCGTAACTTCCGCACTTATCTCAAATTAGAATATAAGCATGTCTGCTGTTAAAAAACGCGCTTCTTCTTTGATAAAACCATAATCACGTCCTATCATAAACTTTTACTATTTTATGAGTACAATTTGCACCGTTGTATTATTCCATCACAGGTATTGTGCTCGTCGGACTGGCTGGGCTCTATCTGGGCCCCAAGTGTGTGAACAACCCGGGCAAGCCCCATTCTATCTGTGTGCTAGTCAGGTCCAGCCAAGTGGGCGGGGCCCTCATTGCTCTGGGCGTCACCATTTCCGGAGTATTCGCACTCATCTGCGCAATTGAAATACAAGTAAGTTTTTATGATACTTTGTACATTTTAAGCCATCTACCACTGCAAAAAAGTAGCAAAAAGTAGACAGTCATAAAGTAGACAAAATCGTGAGCCAATCATAATCGAGATGACAAAACAAACAGACGAAATATTTTATTTTCTCGATTCTAGTTGGCTATTGACTTTGTCTACTTTATGACTGTCTACGTTTTGACCGCACTCCAAAAAACATCTGCCGTTGGGATTCCGTTGTTTGCTAAGTTCTATCTCATCGTACGAGTAGAGTTCTTTTTCTTTAGTTGGTACCAGAAAAGGGTTTATCTGGGGGGGGGGGGGGGGGGGAAGGGGGGGAGGGACCTGACCCCTCCACGACCCCTTCCGTACTATTTTACGACTTTCGTCTTAGCTGACCGATCCTTAAATTTCAATTTTTCCAGGTTTTTCCATTATATATGAACTTTGCACCATAAGAATTTTTACAGCAACTATGAAAATAGAAACTTTGAAATGTGGGAAGAAAATAAAAAAGAAACCATTTTTTGAAAATCTCCCTGCTCGAGACAATATAAATTCGGCGCCTGGTAGGTAGGTACCGGGAGAGATTGTTGACAAAATCTCCTCCTCAAGGGTGGATCTAGAATTTTCTCGAGGGAGGGGGGATTTTCAAAAATTTTGTCTACTTTTTTTAGGTCGTCCAAAATGATTTTTCGAGCTCTCCCAATGTTATAGGAAGACCTTGTTTAGGCCAAATTTTTTGCGCCGCAGGCAAAATTCTGAAAAAACATTTCAAAAAAAGGTGTTTTAAGGCACTTTGTGGAAAATTTTGACAAAAAAAAATTGCGTTTTTTTTGGCGCGCGCTCCCCCCTTGTTATACCCTCGACCGTTAGGTGAGGCATAATCTATGTTAGTTCTGTGTTAGTGAGAACTACGCTGTGTGTTGGTTGAGAATTAAACAAATAAAAGAACAACTTAAATTCAACGTTCTATGTTTAAGTCTGGCTGACACTGTCCTCGAATCATTTGAGAGACAGTGCCTTATAAGTACTAGTAAATATGTGATTACGTATAAATAGGTACTTATTTAATCATCAGACTTCTATAGGTTAATTAATTTACTCTAAGTCTATGACATACTAAAGTTACCAACTGGTTATGTTAGCACCTGAACTGGCTTGATCAATACTGGATGTTTTGCTATAATATCTGTACGGATAACATTCCCCTCTTTTTGATAAATTGAGTCTATCAATTTAGTATGTCCCCACAATTATATGTCCTCCTCCTGCTGGTCCTCGTTGACCTTTCCTATCATCGCAGTTGTGTGCTGATTATCACTGATAGTTGTTGTCGGTGAGTGTTGTTTGCTCGGTTTTTGAGATATTTGTTCCTTTTCTCTTTGAAAGGACATGGAATTGCCTCTAATTGGGCTGATTGAATGCAGGAAAATCATAGCATCCTCGAATTCTTTACTAAACGAATCTTCCGTTGTTCTTGGTTTGTCAAGGATGTAACGCGAGCCTGTAGTTCTGGGTGGTGAGTTATCCGCTTGGACCGTTTCTCGGGCGTTTTCAGGCGTATCACTATTCATGTGGACCTCAGTGCACAAGATATCTTCGGATGTTTGTGACAATGGTGATGGAAATGCCGCAGGGTCATCGGCCACCGTGGTTGGTCTGTTGTCTATTTCTGTGGGGTTGTTTGATTCATTCGCTGTAGTCCCAGCATTGTTCGAATCCTGAATCATTGCCACCGTAATTAATGTCTCCGTGTTAATCGAGATGTTTCCAATGGGGATAGCGTTTCCGAATTTCTCCGCCAGTGTACTTTTTTTTGTTCTCGTTGAACGCCGGATTTCAGGTGAGTGTGCTTCCGGTGTGGCTTTGAGGTCAATTCTTTTGGCGGAAGGTTGTTTATCCGGTGATGGGGTTTTGTGGTTTAGATCGGTATCCGACGAGAGTGAGATTGAGGTGTCGCATTCGAACTGGATCTTAGTGAGATCGACTTTTGATTTCTTTTTAGGGCTCATTTACCTTGCGGTATTGTTTTTGGGAGACGTTGTGTGGACGGTTCGCTTTTGTTACGTTTGTCCCGGGCGTTCAGTTTTCCTTTAGCTGTAAAAGGTTTCAACAGTTTTTGGGGTCCAAGAGCTCTTCGGTTCAACGTATGTTGAATGATTTCTTGCGTTGTTTTTGGTGGTGGTCTTTTCGGACTTGTTACTGCTTTTCCTCCTTGTGTCTCGTTGATAGGTGTCTTTTTTCTGAAACATGCGGTTTGGCTCTTGGTAGGTGTTTATAGGCCACGAAATCCTTTAGTGCCGCTGGTCTACACTTTCCATAGACCCTTGGGTCTGGTATGAACGCGAGACCATCATGCCTAATTACTCTAGGTTGTTTGCCATCCTCCCTTATCCACGCAGTATGCGGAGAGCAATTTATTATTGCACCATTTTCAATTATTTTGAATTGTGCCCCAAATGTCCCCAGATTTTTAGATTTCCTGGCAAAATTTTCCGTTTTTCTAGCAATTTGTTCGAGGCTGAGTCCTGTTTTAGAATCTATCGTATGGGCTGGACCTTTGAAACGATCTTTATGGAATAGTAACGGTGCCCTTTGTAAATTTTGTTTTTCTTGTCGTGTTAAAAGTCTTATGGGTTTACGTGTCCTTAAGTTTTCGAAATCGTTAGTTTTTTCTTTTAGAAAAGATTCCTTGAGTGACTTAGTTTCGTACGGTTTTATTTGACATAGGTAGGTGCGCACCTAATGGGAATTTTTGGAGTAGTCTCCTGTCGAACTCCTCATCGCTGTCATCCAGGGTAATTGCATCCGTGTTTGGAAAAGTATCCTGTTGGTTTTTTGCGCGTTGTTTGCCCGAGTTGGTTGTTGTGCGTGGAGGGACCTCAATTGTGTTCTGTTCTACGTTGTTTTGTGCGGGTGGTACAGGATTGAAGATATGTTCGGGTACGTATTGGTGGTGCGATGTGGGTTTGCCTTGGTGCTTGAATTTTAGGTCCAGTTCATCCTCGCTATTCACCTCTCCGTTCCACATGGTTTCCGCCGACAGCGCGGTCTTAGAAAGCACTTTTTCATCTAAACATGACAGTTTAGTGTTTTCCCACGAAATATTTGAGGATTTAGGCGACGTGCTGAGGTTACTTAGTGGTGTATTAGCTCTTCTACCATAGTGAGCTTCGAAGGGTGTAACCTTAGTAGATGCGTTAGGGGTAATGCGGAGTGTTTTTATTAATTCAGCCACGTCTGATGCTAATTTGTATGGTTGATTTGATTTATCGATTTTCATAATTGCTAATCGTGATTTTAAGGTTCGGATGAGCCTTTCGACCATACCCATAGCTCTGTGGTCGTCCACTGGTGCGAAAATCAGTTTTACATTATTAGTTTTACAATACATGAGGAAGTTTTTGGCCCTGAAACCTTGTGCCTGGTCACATCTGATCGCTCGTGGTACGCCTTGGTTTACTATGTGATTTTGCATAAATCGGATGATTGTATCCGCTTTGTTATTAGGTACGACTTTTGCGTGTGGGAAACGTGAGAAACGGTCGACACCCACCAATATGTAAACCTCTTTATCGTTTTCATCAGGTAGGGGCCCCGCAAAATCCAATTGAATTTCTTCGTTTGGTTCTACCACCGCATCCAATGTTGTGTAGTGTTGTTTACCCGAGATTACTTTAAAGTTCTTACCCTTTTCACGGCAGTTTTTGCATTTTTGGGCAGTTGCTACAATATCGCGATGTAAATACGGGTAACCACACATGTTTCGCCGCTTCTAGCATTCCCCCTTGTCCTGGATGTGTAAGGTGTAGTGCATCCATAAGTGTGGGTCTTAACTGCTTTGGTATAACGACTCTGTCGTTGTATAGAAGGATATTTTCTCTGACGGACAGGCGGTGTCTTACATTATAAAACTAAGGGCCATAGCAATCCTTAATGTTGTCCCATTTCTGTTGTTTAACCATGTTTAGGAGCGGCGATAAATTTGGGTCTCGTCTAGTTGCGGCTGCTAAAAAGCTTACGTCCATCACTTTTCGTAAGTTTTTGCGGAACATCGGGGTGTCCTCTTCCTCTATGCTGGCGGTTGTTTGACATTCAGTGTCCTGTCCGGTTGAGCGGTCCTCTTCAGTCTGCGTCTGGCACTCTGTGTCCGGTGTTTCCGCTAATGCCAGAGTCTGACAAATTGCATCGACCCGGTCGTTATCAACTCTTCTGACTGTAAGGCTCTCCGTTGACGGTATAACTTGGTGTTTTACGTCACTGATTGTGAGTTCTGGCGGTGGTCATTTTGAGAGAAATTCATTAAAGGACAAGTAATTTATAGGGGAAAAAGTAAGTTGGGTCTGTACACCACTGTGAGCTTTATGCGTAATTCGTCGAAACGGAGGTAATGCCATGCCTTGCTGCAATTGCCTATTTATGATTGAAATTTGATTGAATTCCGAATTTTGTTTGGAATTTGGTTTCAATGAGAAGCGACTTGATTCAAACACTTGACTACGAACAGTGAATGCAGTTTGTGTGTGAACCGAATTTGAACGTGCGAAATTTTCTTTCCACTCTTTGGTGCTTAGATAATTAATCGATTTAACATTATTCAAGGATAGGATATTACTGCTGCTATATTGGAACTCTACGCATTTGACGAAGTCATCGATTAATGCTACGACAAATTGTTCATCCCAGTACGCCGGGGGTTGTGGTTTCCCGACCGGGTGTCGTGAAATGTAGTCAATGAGACCCATTTCACTACCGGCCAGATGCTGTATATCGAATTCAAATGGAATGAGTCGATCAATCCATCTGGTTAACTTACTTTGGTAGATTTTGTTGCCCCGATTACTTTTTAGGGCACTTACTAATGCTTGATGGTCCGTTATCAGAGTAAAACGTCTACCGTATAGTTAATACTTGAAATGCTCAATGGCCCACACTACGGCCAAAAGCTCGAGTTCGTTTACCGAGTATTTTTGTTCGCATGAATTTATGAACCTTGATGCATA